CAAAGGAAAACATCTCCGATTCATAGTAGCCTGTTATTGTTTTCTTTTTCCTCATATCTTCTAGAAATTTGTCTCTTTCGAATTTTATGTATATATCAGAAAAGACATATTTCAAATAATGCGGAAAGAAGGCTTGGAGAATTTGATACTCACATGACATATTAAAAGCAAGAGACAGAAAAATCACCTACATAACGAGCTTATGTAATTGGTTAGGAGAGCTAGCAAAATGTCAAATCTTTCTAAGAGCCACAACGTAGAGGAAGTCGTGGAGAGTAGTGATAATCTACGTCCTAAAGAAACGTAGCATATAGAAGAAGAAAATAGAATTCTGAAATTCTACAATCAATGAATTCCTTAAAGGTGCTTTTGCGTCTGTTTTATTGTCGAAAAATTCCTCACAATGAACAAAACAGAAATGAAGAAAAAATATTTAGTTTCGTCTGGCACAAGGGCTAATATTTTGGGTACTCAGTGAGGACTGAAAAACTTGCTTGAAATGGTCTGCAAGACTAGCTTGCCAACTTCCTTTCTCGGATAACTGTTCAAGAGTGATAGATAAACGATATAGATACTAAGTCTGGTATAAGGTCATGGCAGCGATACGCCTCGTAAGGACCGAAATCACTTGAAATGCACTTAATAGAGAAATAAAGTACAATGAAACTAATGAGGTCGAGAATAAAATCTAGATATTCGCTAACTTTGGTACAAGGCAACAGTAGTGGGGCGCTTACTAAAGATTGAATACGCGAGTATAGTCAGTGAGATTATATCGCTAATTATCGCTCTCTACAAAGAGAGACGAGAAAGCTGAGAAAAAAAAAGTGTTTTAGGACGATATCAATGAATGTCGCTTAATTTTGGAAAGAAAAAGAATTATGAAAAAAAATTCAGACAAACTAACACAGAAAATAAAAAGATGGGAAGAAAATCAAGACAAGAAACAAAAGAAAAGATGCAAAAAGAAAATGAAGTGGGGAGAAAAATCCGTCGGAAAATCAAAGAAAAAAAAATATAAAACACTAAAATAATTAGGCAAACTTTCAATAAAACAGAAAAAAATCATTTGTCCCTCTGTTTTTAAACAAACAGTCCACCTCGGTTAAATAAAAATAATTAAAAAACGAAAACAAAAAAATTAAACACCTCACGAGAAACCAACAAAAGAAAAAGCAGACGACCAAAGGCGCCATTTTCTTTTTTTCATTTTTTTAAACTTTGCTACTCTTTATTCTTAATAATCTCAGGTCTTCTCATTTCCCTCGCCTCTTTCTCTCCGTTTCTCCTCTCTGCTCTAACAATTCTGTATTAAATTTGGATCTTCGATTCAGTAAATTGCATTCGGATCTCAAGTTTCGTTGATTATTGGGATGCTTTAAAAAGGGAACTTTCTTTCATCTCAACATCTCTTCGTTTCGTAGTTTTGCAAATAGATTTGCCATTAGTCGGTATTACTGTTGTTATAAAAATGAAATCGTTTTTATTATGGCTCTCATTCTCCCCTAATTTTCTTAATTTTTTTTTTTTTCTTTTTGATCAACTCTTTCCTTTAACTTCTCTTTCTCCATCGTTTTGTTTTGTTTTTAATTCATCTTTTAAATATGCATTTAATTTTTATAACTATCATTATTATTCTTTTCACATTCCTAGTACCTGGTTCCTTTCACTGTAAATTAAGTGACAGTACGTCATCTCCGTATTCTAGGACACTGCTTGCGATTTCAATTGATTTTAGCAATGCTATCGTTCTATCGTTTCGTTTCGTCTACATAATTGCAATTCTTTCAGGTCCTTTATGAGTTTTTTGGTGTCTCGTTAAAATAATGATAGTTACTATGGTCATTTTCAGTACTCAGGATTGTCCCGCAGGTTGAAGCGTTCGTTCGTGAATTTGGTGGCAGAGTAGTTGTGAGTTCAATCCTTGGACCGGGCAGAACTTAGTGGGAACAGGGCGAGCAATATCTGAGCAGGGCTAAATATGAACGACGATATAGCACAAGACATGGTCAGCGGAACGAGAACAATCAACCCCCGTAGATTAAATAAATGGTTCCGTTTGAAATTCCTTAAAGGTTACCCGGATTTATAAGCGTCTGATGAAGGCCAGAGTGCACAACGGTCGAAACGTTATGATAATAACAACAAAAGTGAGGACAATAGTCCGCATATAAATAATAACTCCTCATCCTGGAATTGTCATTTTTTTTTTCTAGTTTTACTGACAAGTTCTTGCTATTTTCTCGGCTTTTCTCATTCTTTCAAGTTCACAATTTGTTGGAGCAATATTCGTTATGAAAAATAAATTGCTTGTTTGCAAAAATGGGATCCGTTCACCTGACCTGGATTGAGTAATTTTTTAAAATTTCAAAACTGAACTCTTTAAAATAAGTTCTCTGTGATAAATTCTGGTTTTTGTATAAATAATTGGTTTATATGATCAAATCTCAATCGTTTGCACAGTTCTTAGAGAATCCCGTTTCTATCCAGTCATGTCTACTTCAGCGCTCCTTCTGAACCAACCTGATTCATTTATTTATATCAGAGACGATCTGGTCTCTCTCTGAATTCACAAGTTTGTTCTGACCTCTCCTGGCTTTTATATAGTTGGCTCTTATCTCTACATTGTCTGCATTTACTGTTTCGCTTTGTCCTGTCTGCTTTTACCTGAATATAATTGGTTTTCATAGAAGCGTTCTGGACGACGTTTTTTTTTCTTTTTTTTTTATTATCTATTATGGTTTTCTTTTAACTAATTTCGTAGCTTCTCGCCTTTTTTTTTTCTTCCACATAATTCTTTTTGAAAAATTCTTCAGAAAAAATTTGTTCCATTTTTATTATTGAAAGCTGTTTTTTTTTTCTTTATTGTTTTTCTTTCTTCATTTTTTTTTTTTTTCTCATTTACTGCAGATATTTTGACTTCTTTCAAATTCTTTCCTTCCGTCTCTTTTTATACTTTTTTTTTTTCTCGTGAAATGTTCTGTTGTCGTGTAGATCTTTGCCCCGCTGCATTTATCGAGAGATTGGTAGTAAGCTAATTGCAAACCAATCTCTCATAATACAATCGGTACTCTATTTTTGTAGCCTTGTACCTGGTGAAACCTATCTACTCATTTTAGATTTTTCAGTATTTTTATCTTTGTCTCACTGTTTTCTCTCTTCACTCCCCCAAACTACCTTCGTTTCCTTCTTTTTCTCACTCTCTAGCTCACTCGAACACTCTGTCCTTCTCTCTCTATCTCTCTCTCTCTGCCTTTATTTTTTCTTTCTTTTTACTTTTTCTATCACGCTGTTTCACCCCCCTCTCTCTCTCTCTCCCTTTCCCTCTCTTTCCTTTTCTCTCTCCCTTTCCCTCTCTTTCCTTTTCTCTCCCCCTTTCCCTCTCTTTTCTTTTCTCTCCCCCTTTCCCTCTCTTTTCTTTTCTCTCCCCCTTTCCCTCTCTTTTCTTTTCTCTCCCCTTTCCCTCTCTTTCCTTTTCTCTCCCCTTTCCCTCTCTTTCCTTTTCTCTCCCCCTTTCCCTCTCTTTCCTTCTCTCTCCCCCTTCCCCTCTCTTTCCTTCTCTCTCTCCCTTTCCCTCTCTTTCCTTCTCTCTCCTTCACTCTCACTCTTTCTCTGTCCCCTCTGTCCCTCCCTCCTTTAAAGATTTCTTTTGTTTCTTTATTCCCTCCCTTCCCCTTAAGATTAGTGGGCAGATCCTACTTTTTGCAATCAATGTCGATAAGGTTGAAAACAAAACAAAATCGTCCATTTTTTTTTTTTCTTTTTTTATCTCGCCAAAGAATCGCTTCTTTTATTTTTCCAATTTGGATTTATGATTAAATTGTTTTTCTTTCTTTTTCTTTATTTCTTTTTTTTCTTTTTTTTTTTTAATGGATTCCCCTTCGTTTCTTTTTTTATATCTTTTTCTTTTTCTCCTCCCCTTACTTCCCCAGTTTTCTTTTCTTCTTTTTTCTTTATTATTTCCGCATTCTCCTTCTATTTCCTTCTTTTCTTATTGAAATTCTCTTCTTCTTTTTCATTCACGTTCCATTTTTCCTGCTCATAACCATTACGGCACCGTTCAACCAAAAATATCTTTCGCATATTTGCCGATTTTGTGGCGCAATGATTAATAAATTAACCTAACAGATTATTACTACTGTAGGGAATTCCATCTTTAATGAATACTCAAAAAATGACCTTGTACCAGACTAAGCTATGTTTAATACATAACTACTGTCACGATATCGTTGGTTTTCAGAGCAGGACATTCCTCCCCAAATAAAATTTGGCACAATACAGTCTTCCTAATTTAATTTTCCTCAAAGCTTGGTTAAATGTTATAATCCTGGTCTTAGCATTATTTTCGATAATTCTTCAGTTGAATATTATTATTAGTAGATCGATTCACCTATAGCCCTGTTCACACTCTTCCCGGGACTTTTGAACAGGAGTAGAGGTTTATCCATTGTTTAAGGTTGAGTTTTAGGTTCCTTCTAAAGTTTGTTCATTCTCTTTAACTCCCAGTAGACCCTCGCGTCTTAGTGGCATTATCACAAGTCAGAAAACAGACCGACAAAATAGGGACGTTGGAATACAAATATACGAAGTCGAACGCATTATTATTATTATTATTGTTGTTTTATTTCCTTTGTTTTCTTGTGTATACTCATTTCTTTCAGGGTCCCAACCAGAGACCTAAGGTTAGAAATGGCGTCATGACATTTTTCACTGAGAATTTAAAAAAAAAACTAAGATCACAGACATTTTACATACATAAAGCTCTTTGTAATTTGTGAGCTGTTCTCGTGAGTACAATTTTTTGTATTTGTTTAAGGCATGGGCTGCCAGGAATCCCTTCAATGAATCTATCGAAACCTTATACAATCAAAAGATGGATTCATACCTTTCCCAAGAGTATTTGCGTGTAAATATATATAACGAACCCAATGGGAATTGGGACTCGGCGCTCCGATTTCCAATTCTGGGTCGTTATCCATTACACCACCCGCACATCCCAGATTGCAGAACCTATTATTCCCATGCGGTCACCCATCTAGGTACTGACCAAGCTGGACGTTGCTTAACTTCGGTAATAGTACGGGAACCGGTGTTTTAAAACGGTGTGATCGTAAGCTCGTTATGAGATACAAAACAACATAGATTTTAAAAATGAGATAAATATATATTCATGTGCTGAGAGGTGTGTTTGTTGTTCGGTTAGGTTTGCCTCGGGACTAAGTCTTCTCAGAGGGGAAACGAGACACGTCTTGTCGCTTTGGCATTCTGTAGTTGAGAGATAAAACAGAAAAAGGGTTTGATTCCTTTTGTTTTATACTGTTCTATATAACGCCACTACTGGGTTTTAAAATTTTAAATTCGTAGGATAATCCCGCAAACTGCATATCGGAAATACTGAATTGTTTTCAATATTCCGTCATTCAAACTAATATCTTTATTGCTTTGATACAGTATCACAACTAAGGCTTTTTGTTGACCTTCCTGGTGTGTCTAGAGTCCTGGGTGAGACGATAAACTACATCCCTGTTCTGGGTGAGACGATAAACTACATCCCTGTTCTGGGTGAGACGATAAACTACATCCCTGTTCTGGGTGAGACGATAAACTACATCCCTGTTCTGGGTGAGACGATAAACTATATCCCTGTTCTGGGTAAGACGATAAACTACATCCAGCAGCAAGGCCTCTGATCAGGTGGTTTTGTGGAGCGTAGGACCAACTCTTAATTGCTGGTGTTCTCAGGTCCACCCTGACCCCGGGGTGGAGGCACCTGTTGGGTCCCAGCTATGTGCAAATAGTTAACCTCTAAACTGGGGTCAAAACACTATGAAAGTGTAAATATAGGTTTTAGTACCAGCAATACATTTTTATAGAAAATATTACCAAAACGTCTTTTTGGAAAACAAATTTAACCGTAATAAAAATCTAGTCGACATTAAATAAACCATTTAGTTGGATATACTGTAACACAAAATAAACCAAAACTAGTGTGCCTAAATTCTGAATCTAAACATTTGATTTCTTCTATAATCTTCATCATTGTTGTTTTGATAATTGTTTCGGCGGTTTTACGAAATCCGACAGAAATTCTTATGACCGAAAGATTTTTGCATGCATTAATGATTTACTCTTCCAAATTGTGGGACTGAAAAAATACATTTCATTTTGATTTTATATCGTTTTCTTATTTAAGGGTTGATTTTAATTTAATTTAATTTAAAGGTTAAAAATATCTCTCTTATCTATTGCTGAAATGTCGGAGATCAGAAAAAGCTGTAATGAAAAGAATTCAAGTAAATCCAAGAATTAATTAAAATATTAATTCAATTAATCATAATTTAAAGATGCAGTCTCTTTAGAATTTGATTAATTAATTTCCTTCTAGAAATAAAAAGAATATTAGTTTAATTTCGTCCATCAAATTCGTTCTAAAAAGTAACCGTCGTTTAATTATGTAAATTAATTAAGCCTGCTTGTCAACAATCAACAAACATATAATTAATAATCATGTAACAGTTTTTTACTATTATTTCTGCAGAGAATTGTTGATAAAAGGAGAAAAAATATAACATTAATGACGAAACAGGGATTTAATATAACAATTCGAGAGATAAAGCGACAGACAATAAACCTGTAATAAATGGAGGGATGATGGTCACGCACCAAATGTAATACAAACGGGTTGTTGGGAAAGGCGGTGGTTTCTAGAAGAGTAAGGGGGAGGAGGAGAAAAACAACAAAACAGAAAATGCAGTCGTATTATTGATTGCCTTCACTCCGCACAAATAATAAACGAAGAAATAGCTAGAACAAGCGACTAGGTTTCCATATTTCAAATCGTCTGGGTCGAACAAACGTCTATGAACCCATATATCAAATCGTCTGTAATCGGACATGCAAGTAGGTTTCCATATTTCAAATCGTCTGTAATCGGACATGCAACTAGGTTTCCATATTTCAAATCGTCTGTAATCGGACATGCAACTAGGTTTCCATATTTCAAATCGTCTGCAATCGGACATGCAAATAGGTTTCCATATTTCAAATCGTCTGGATCGAAAAAGCAACTAGGTTTCCATATTTCAAATCGTCTGTAATCGGACATGCAACTAGGTTTCCATATTTCAAATCGTCTGGATCGAAAAAGCGACTAGGTTTCCATATTTCAAATCGTCTGGAATCGGACATGCAACTGGATAGTACTTACATATTTTTAACATATTTAACAGTTTATAGCTATAGCATAACATACAAACTTACAAGTAAACAAAAAACGAAGACTCCAGAAAGTCATACTACTACTAATACTTGGATACGAGTTTAGAAATTTTATGTTGGGGGTGTCATTTTAAAAAATAAACTGAATTAAATGTCTCTACATTATTTTTTTAACAAAAGTTCATCAAAATATTTTGCAGGAAACTAATTATTTTACAAAAGTCATAATTCTAATATATATATATATATATATATATATATATATATATATATATATATATATACAGTTAAAATGTGTAAACAAACTAAACGGAGAATCTAAAATATGAAAAAAGACTGCGGGTAAAATGTGTTTAGTTTCTGGGAGTATATGAGAAGGTCCATGCAAATTTCAGTGGTATGGGCTCACAACCTGTCACATTTGATAAACACTTTCCTGAGGATGTATAAGGTAACCGTAAGTATAATCTTTTACATGCCAGTCAAATTGTCCATCAGGTAATTGGTAAACCGAATTTATTATTATTATTATTTTTATTTCCTTTGATTTCTGGTGTGTATACATTTCTTTCCGGCTCCCGCCTAGAGACATAAGGTTTAGTAATGGCATCATGACATTTTCCACAGACAAAAAAATATATACAGCCCACACCTTACGAAAGGCTTTATCTATGTAAAAAATACATAGATAAAGCCTTTCGTAAGGTGTGGGCTGTACTCATGAGAACAATTTTTTTGTATTTTTTTTAAGGCATGAACTTCTAGGGATCCCTTCAATGAGTCTACTGGAATCTTTTCCAACCAATCCTAGGACTCCAACTACAACAGGGATTGTTGATGTTCTCACGTGCCACATTTTTGAGATTTCGATTTCAAGGTCCTTGTATTTTGATAGCTTTTTGAAGATCTTCAAAGATACATTGCAGTCAGCAGGGACTGCCATATCAATAAGGAGGCAATCATTATTATTATTATTTTCTTTGATTTCTGTTGTATACCCATTTTCTTCCGAGTACCAACCAGAGACCTAAGGTCAGAAATGGCATCATGACATTTTCCACTAATTATTTTTGTAAAAAAAAAATCGCCCAAGATCAAACACATTTTATATACTTAAAGCTCTTCGTAATTTGTCAAATGTACTTGTAAGTACATTTTTTTGTATTTCTTTAAGACATGGGCTACCAGGAATTTCTTTAATGAGTCTATTGTAACCTTTTCTATTTAATCCGAGGGCTCCAACTACAACTGGAATTATTGATGTCCTCATGTGTCACATTTTTGAGATTTCCAATTCAAGGTCCTTGTATTTTGATAGTTTTTTTTTAAAGATCTTTAATGATACATTACAATCTGCAAGGATTGCCATGTCAATAAGAAAGGATATTCTGTTCTTTTGGTCTTTGATCACGATATCTGGACGATTAGCTTTGATTGTTCTGCCTGTGTGTTTTCGATTAACTTTGATTGTTTTATTATTATTATTATTATATTTCGAAGTTTCCTACAGTCACACTACCTACCAAGTCTGTGAGAAGACCTAAGGTAGGTAGTAGTGTGTTGTTATGGCTACATTATATGATTTGTTTTTTCAACTTCCATAACATCATTAGCGTTATATGGACAAAGTTCTTCGGATTGTATGGGCTGTACTTACCTTTTGTATTTCTCTTAAGCTGGGATTTCCAGGGATTTTTTCACTGTGTTGTTGTGTTCCCTTTTTTATCATTCCAAGCACACCTACTATGACTGTTATTATTATTATTATTATTATTATTATTATACTTTCTTCTTCTACTGGAGATCTTGCATTATGGATTCTCTCCATTAAATCGTACGACCTAAGACAGATAAAACCTTTCGCCCAATATTTGCAATGTAATGTAGACTTCTGAAGCCAACTAATACAAACTTCTGAAGCGATGGGATTATTATTATTATTATTATTATTTTTGTTGTTTTGTCTTTGTTTTGTGTAATATGATTTACCACCCCACCCCAGTTCCAACCAGATACAAAAAGTTTTAATATCAGAATATGCAAACATATACTCAAAGAGAAAAACGATGCAAATGTGAACACTGCGTGGAGAGATCTTCTACGTAGGATGTGATAAGTCCTCATGAATATGACTTTTTTTCAATACATAGTTATTTGCTCCTTTTGATATCATTTCTGGAACTCAAGCAATAACAGATATTTTTGTTGTCTTCAAATGCCACATTCTACTGATTTCGATCTTGTGATTTACGTAATTTCTCAAACATTTTTCAAAGACGTGTCGTCTGGGACTGCAAAATTTATCAGAAGACGTCTTAACATGATTTTCACAATTGTCTGGTCGATTCGTATGAATTTCCCTATCAATCTGAAGGCTAAACTTCCAGACAATTGTATAATCTTCATTCTGTACAACTTGTGGCTTATTCCCCTAACAATTACCTTTGCGAGGGAGGTTGAATGCGCAACATATTGATCAATGTATGCTCTGAGGAGCTTTATTCTATCATTGCAATATATTATGCGGGACATTAGACTTTATTATTCATTCATTCATTGTTCGCGCCAGTCGTAACTGGTAGATTACACTAGAAATCAAGAGAGAAATCTCTTCAGTTATTCAGCACAATATTCAGTATTGTAGTTTTTTTCTGTAATGCTGACCTCTAGATAGTTGCCACTCTTCCTCTGATTTCCAGTTTCTCCAGTACTCCGATAACAACTGACACAACTGTCACCTTCATGTTCCACGTCTTCCTCGGCTCTCTGGCAAGGTCAAGTCATTTTGTTTATCATTTTGACATCACAAAAACGAAAACAAACGTGATGCAAGAACAAACAATACAAATTAACCAAGAAGACGTAATCACCATAATGCTTGCTACGTGCCAATTTT